ATCGGCTTACCCGGTATCGAACTCCTGCATGACATCGAGCTTACCCCGACATCAGACCATGTCTGGCATCGGTCATCGCCCGGCATCGGGCTCGCCCCAGCATACACACAGCATATCATATATCATAAGCATATAACATACATCGGGCTTACCTCGACATCAGACCGAAGCCCGGAACACATAACACATAACATATAAGCTAACATACATCAGGCTCGCCCCGACATTGGACCTAGTCCCGGAATATATAATGCATAACATGCATGAATCACAAAGACATCAAGCATACATATATACTTCTCGGGACCACCCCAACATCGGACCGAAGTCTGGAACACATAATCTGCATTGGGCTACCCTCGAAAACGGACCGAAATCCAGTATATGCTAACATACATAAACGGGCCGACATTGGTGCCTTCGACCCATTCCTACTAGAGGAAAACTCGCATCTCAAGCTGACTGCTGAAAACTCGTGTGAGGGTATCTCTGATAGCTGCTCCAATGACTCCCCGACTATCATCATCACAATAAACACTTAGTCAAAAACTGAACATCCTTTTAAGGGTAAAATGACTATTTTACCCCCTTGATCTAATTTGGACCATGACCTAGGCCCAATCCCTTCTAGTCTTTCCAAACTCACTAATGGCCCATTAAGGCCCTCTAATGGTCTAATTTTTTAAATTGGGCCCAAATCTTCAAATGGGCTTTCCTCCGAAGTCCAAACATGTCCTTGGTCCATTATCTGACTCCTGGTGGTCCATTTCGGCCCAACATTTGCTAAGTCCAAAGCTTGGCCCAGATCGAGGCCCAAATGTCACAAAGCCCAAAGTCTGAGGGTACGCTGAGCGTACTCTTCTGCACGCTACGCGTATAGCTTGCATGGCTTGTACATTACGCGTACTTGCGTGTATGCCCAACATACTACTCTGTTAAGCCATTTTCTTCAAAACCTCTTAATCCCTTAAGACATTAAGTCCAAATTACAGATCTGAGTCCAATGATCCGTCTTGACCCATAAAGTCGATTACTTGGTGGCTTGCAACCCACCAAGTGAGATCAAAATTGGAAAATAGCAACTAACTTCATGGAACCATAAAAATCCATTATTTGGACCTAAAAAGGTCCAAAACTCCATAATCCTAGATCTAAACATTTATGAGGAAAGTTGGAAGCTTTATGCCTCCTATTGGTGCCAAAAGGTGAGGTAATCTCAGATCCTTGAGCTCAAGATACTTAAGTTCTTCTTCTCCAACTTCTCTTCTCTTCTTCCAAGCTCTACTTCACCAAAAAAAGATCCAAAAGACCAAACACACACAAGAATGGAGTAAGAGATGGTAGTTAGGGTTTCTGAGGGTGAGGGGCTAGTAAGGAGGCTAGGGTTTCTGCCATAATGTGATATTTATATGGCTTAAACCCTAAAAATTAGGGTGTTGGAATTTGGTCACGTACGCTACGCGTACATGCATGCGTCCTCCGTATCCACTACGTCTCTACGCGCCCACGTACACCAAGGCTACACCCAGCGTACGACTTATGGGTAGCCCAAATCCTCGACCCACTTGCTAAAAATCCACTCCATTAGTCCTTCTACAGACACTTAGCCTAACAAATAATTAAGAAATATTTAATAGTTAATACCTCAAATGAAGGTCGTTACAATTTACCCCCACTTGAATCAGACTTTGTCCTCAAAGTCCGCTGCATTTGGGAACAAGTCTGGGTAGTGCTCCCTCATCTCTTCCTCGGGCTCCCAGATCCACTACGAGCCCTTGAGGTGCTTCCACTTCACCTTCACCAAGTCAACCCTCTTGTTCCTCAGCTCCTTCGTCTTCATGTCAAGGATAGCTACTGGTCTCTCGATGTAGTTCAGACTATCATCAACCTGAATATCCTCTAAAGGCACAATCGATGACTCATCCACCAAGAACTTTAACAACTGAGAAACATGGAAAGTGCTATTGATCTGGCTGGTCTCTGCTGGAATATCCAATCGGTATGCCACCTTGCTCACCTGGGTTATAGCCCTGAAAGGACCGATATACCTGGGGCCCAACTTGCCCCGCTTTCTGAACCAGATGACACCTTTCCAAGGTGACACATTCAGGAGGACCATGTCACCCACCTGAAACTCCAAGTCTGAATCCCGCAAAATCAGCATTTTGCGTCTCTGACTCGTCGAGTCAGGCTTGGACTCGTCTAGTTCACTATGGACTCGTCGAGTTCACTATGGACTCGTCGAGTTCACTATGGACTCGGCGAGTCACTCAGTTGACTCGACGAGTCAATTCGAAAAAACTCAAAAATTTCGATTTTTTCAGCCAATTTTCGATCAAATAAGTATCAAATTCACTGACAAACAAAACATGGCTTTGATACCACTGATGGGTTTTAACCAATACATCAATCCTATGGTGTACATGCAAATCCTAATAGCTTTGGATCTAGTTTGTCTAATGAACATGCAATTGATTATCCAAATCCATAAACCCTAGATCTAATAAACTATAACTAAAGTTAGGGTTTAGATCTTACCTTTGATTGTTATATAGCAATAACAATCAATCATTGGCTTTAGAAAACTTAGTGCCTTAAGTGTTGCACCTCTAATGGAGTCACAAACACAACTAAGCAACTTGGATGAAGAGGGAGGAGAGAGGAGGCACCAAAAACAGCTGGAAACCCTAAAAGAATACTTAGCCACATTTTTGGGGTATAGGCGCCCTTTATATACATGTAGGCTATTAGCGTTTATAGCTAGGAAACCCTAATCTGACTGCTTAAGCCCTAAGCAGTCCGTGGACTCCTTTAACATATCCCTCGAACAAAATTCCTTATGGGCATACCATAGAATTCGTCCAACCAATATATTATTAGGTGATCCATAGCCCAATTGCAATTATCTAATAATTACAAATCCAGTCCCCTAAGTTTAATTAATCTCTTTTAGTCACAAAATTAATTCTTGACTAATATTAATCAAACAATATGATTTCTACTTTAATATATTATTCTTATAATATATTAATAAATCATAATTAAACCTCTCTTTCCTTAATTCATCCTACATATTGCTATGGTGAAGGCAACCCAAAAGGATCATGCTCATAATCGGGTTAAGTACATACCAAAATAGTTATGGACTTAGACACTAATCCAACACAAAGAAGTACCCCCGAAGCCCTAGTATCATCCTGAGACCTGAAGCAAGTCCCGAAGCCTGAAGATCTCAAGAAGAAAAGAGTTTCCAAGCCGAAGCTCCGCTTGCGAGAAGCCCGGTGTGTGAAGATCTTCCAGTTTCATCGAAGAATACTACTTCTACAAGTCGTAGTGTTGCCCGGTCATCTACTGATCAAGTGAATGCATAGTCCCTTTCAAATACACGATTTTATACAAGTAATCGATTGAATGCATTAAGTATATGATTTATGTGAGTGTATTATTGTTACCTTCTAACACATAGATCTACATGATTCTCTATGGAATACTTGTTATGTGTATATGTATCATCTGTTATTTGGAATGAGTATTGAAAGAACATGTTATACAGGTTTTAAGTTATGTATAAAATATGTATATTTTATCTACTAATATGTTGGGTAGAACATGGATAGATAGTTTGTGTGTCATGAAATAAATTGATGAGAGGCCTCGTTGTTGTTGTTAATCTAGTCATCTAGCAGAGTATGGATGATGACCACAGACTCTTTCTAGACTATCTCGTGGAACGCTAACAGGTTCATAACCTGTAGGTGTTGTGAGCTTGATGTTCACTGGTGTACTCTATCCCACTCATGGTTACCTTTATGACATTTATTGTTGAGGAAACCCTTTTGCAGTAATGTCCATCCCGATGAAAATCCTAGATTAGGTCTCTTGAGATAGATGTTGCTTTAGGGGCGTAAAGTGAGGATAACAGGAAAAAGTAATCGGGTTATTGTTGATTGTTGAATTAAATATAATTATTTATTGTGGGTTAAAAACCTTATATGCTCACCAGACTCCCAAGCCTGACCCACTCAGTTTATTTGTATTACAGGTAGTGGTGCGAGGGCATAAGATGGATGAATCATCAAGTTTTTTTGCTTATAAGCTCGTACATGTATATAACTGTTGTATGGCTTGTAATATGTCGTTTATGCTTTTTGGTCTTTATCGGAACATGACATCGCGAGTTTTGATTATATAATGAAAATACATTTCTTTATGAAATTCTTTGGTAAATATTATTTTATCATATTTTGTTTTTGGGGAACAAATTCCGCAAGACTTTTAAAGCAAAAGGATATACTCTGAAATTATTTTAAAAGCATAAATGAAACCGGTCTTTTATAGCCGAGATTTTAGGGATGTCACATTTAAACTCCCACTACAACTCAATAGTTTTTTAATTTAAAAGTAATTATGATTTCAATTTTAATATAATTAGCCATGCATTTATATTTTCCACTATATTCAAAAGTTTTTTAAATTTATGGTTAGTAATATGTAATGTCTTTTTATTTTCCACTTATTTATGATACATATTGTAGCTATATTAGTATTATATAAGTAAGTTTTGATTAAAAAAATCATATGTTTAAAAAGATTTGTAATTCAAAATAAAATAGTTGAAAAAAATAAGTTTTATCGCAACAATGTTTATTTCAACACCGATTTTTTATATCAATGTTTCTATATATCAAATGTATGTTGATTTCTAAATATTTATTTTGTATGATTTATAATTGTTTAATAAGTTTTGTTTGATGTAAATGTTATGGTAGATTTTGTAGTGTTTTTATTTTATTAAAAGCTATCGTGTTTTTTCGTACTATTTGTTATTTGTTTTATATACAAATAGGCATACATTTTATATATAATTTCCACAACTAAAAATATTCTATAAAATCATCAAAAGTTGTATTATTTAGTTCTTTATACTATATATTTGTTATACATATAAATTAATATACGTTTAATATATAATTTACACAAAATAAAACAG